TATATTAATTTTTGAATTGTTTTCCCCCTGTTTATTTTTAAGGTGTACACTGATACACTTTTCGAGCGAAGTACCCCTTGGCCACACCACCTCTACACCGAGGCCTACCCATGTACGCCGTGACGAACTTGCTCCTCTCGTTGGGTGGTATCCACTGGGCGGTCATGAAGTGCATGGCCGGCCAGCAGAAGCCCTGCCAGCAGAAGGACCACGTTCTTTAAAGCTCACGCTCACGCTCCGCGTGCTGTTCTCCGCAGGCGAGTCGACCACTCACCGCGATGAGCCCCTGGACGAGGCGCAGGGCGAGCAGGGCGCGGTAGTCCCAGTGCGACGCGGCGGGCACGAGCGCGCCCATGAGCCCCGGCACGGCGTTGCTCAGGCCGAACACGAGCTTGGTGCCGTAGCGCCGCGCCAGGATGCCGCCGGGCAGCTGCGTCATCCAGTGCAGCCAGAAGAAGGCCCCCAGCACGAGGCCCTGCTGGCGCTCGTCCCAGTCGAAGCGCGTCCACTGCAAAAGCGGGCGCAAGCACAGGTACCGCGGTGTGGTTGTGGTGTGTGTGGTGTCACAATGCGCATGGGGGGTTGGGGCGGTTAGAGGGACGACTACTCACCCCCTCGTCATCGGCGACCATGATCATGCTGGTGGGTGCGAGGCTGGCGTTGCCGACCGTCTGGTTGAGGAGGTCGGCGTCCTTGCGTATGGCCATGGTCCAGTTGCCGCCGCCGCCGCCCTCGCTCAGGCACTCGTCGCTGGCCTTGCCGCCCTTGGCCTTGGGGTGCTGCACCATGCCGACGATGGCGATGTTGATGTTGATGCGGACCATGTAGTTGACGGCGAAGCCGAAGAACACGAGCCACCACAGCACCCGCCGAGCAGTCATACATTCTTGACAGAGGGACATGTGGTCACAGAGGGAACGACCAGAGAGCACCTCGTCCTCATATCAGCCACCATCACCATGAATCACGTTGGAAACCTTTCCCGACAATTCTATCTTTATACACCTGCTTTACCCAAGGACAACGTTTTTCTCACGATGACATCATAGGGACGTACAAAATCACAAGTAATATGTCAAAAAATACAACTAAAAATGCATCACGGTCGGTAACCCTATTGTGATATCCGTGACGATTTCGTGAGTAACACGCCCTCTTCTGAATTATTGCCTCTCGTTTAAATTAAATATAAACTAGTAAAGAAACATTTTGAAGCGTGCAGCATCCCACTCACACGTGCCTCTGCGCCTTTCGCAGGATCAGCAAACTTGTCTACGGAACACAGACTGTAGAGTAAACATTGGACTGAGCCAGTGCCTTGATTATGTCACAAGGTTAATGTCACTCGTGTTAGACTTGATGTCGCATAGGCGCACTTGCCCATTTGCAGGCATCTCATTTTACCCCGAGTGAGTAGTTGAGTTCTGATTCGACGTCGATTTGCGGGTCAAAATCGAATCGATGTCAAATAGAATTTGACTACCATCGACCATTTATTGAAATTGCGACTGTCACTGGGACCGTTCAGGGATGCGTGCAACGGAACTCCGACAAACGACCACTCACGCTTTCCAACAGCACTCGATTATCAGAAGGACGGGGAGAGTTCTCGAGAGCAGAGGGTGAGGGACGATAAGGAAGCGCGCAGCGCGCCGTTCGTTCTCAACCCCGTGACTGGGTCACTTTGTCTCTCGTTTTCGCGGGCCAAAGACCCTCCCACCATTTTCTGTTCCTTTTGTGTGACATGTCATTGGTGTCAATGAAGTCCCTTCTCCAGACGCCTTTCATTCAGACGAATCGGACCAAGGTCAAATTGGTCCGGCTTGCCGTGTCCTTAGGCCTGACAGACCCCCCCCCCCCCATTTTCCCTCTTCTCCACGGTCTCCAAACTGCGCGTCAAACCGACAGCGTATCGTTGCCACCCCTACGCGCCGTAAAATGGTTTGGTTTGCGCCGAATTCCGCCCACTAAACTCCGCGCGCGAAACCACTTGATCCCAGCCGCGGAGTTTCACCCTTGGGAATTCCCCGCAGCGAATGACATTCCCCCTGCGCTGGATTTACCTGGAGTCTTTGCCATGTTCGGCTCGGCGGTGTCGCTGCCCCGGCGGCTCCGGGTGGCGTTGACGGCGTGGCCCGGTGCCGTGCAGGTGGCGGCGGTGCGCAAGTCCAACAGGGGTGTCCGCGAGGTGTCCGCGCCCAGGACTCATCCGCTCGCCGCCCCGCACGCCTCTGCACGCCGCGCCTCGTCGCCCGCCTGCAGCTCGCCAGGCCTTAGCCAGGCCGCCCGCTCACCACGGGAGCCCATCACCGTTACCACACCTTATCAGGGTAAACAGCACTTACCGTCGGGAGGCGAGAGGCATCTCCACGAGCGTTGAGCCCCCTGCCGCGGACGGGACACCGCTTATCACGGGGCTTCTTTTTATTTTTGATACCACGCGATGCTCTCACCTTCCACCCGCGAGGCCGCCGCGGTGACGCTGACGGCGCCTCGGCGCTGCAGGACAAGGATCCCCCTCATCTCTTCTCTGCTCTCCCACCACCACGCACACAGAGAAAGTAGTTGTTTGAATAACGCGGGGCTGCGGGGCCTGGTCCAAGGCTGGAAACATAACGGCATGCCAGCAGAGCCTCGCACCACGCACCAGGCAGGACACCAGGTTAAACTCCCGAGGTTTGGTGTTGGGAAGACGGACGACAATAATAGTGGAAAAACAAAAAACAGAGCGAGGTGTTGTGTGGAATCTGTTATTTGTCAAGATATTTTACAATTGGTGACTTATTCAACTGGAGAAGTCAGTCCGTTTAGTGCTTTTCTTAGTTTAGTTATAATTTGTCATTAATTTAATGTTAGTTCTCGCACAGTCGCACGCGTGATCTAAAAAAACATGACAGACGTAACCTCTCAACAACTTTGTTTTCGGCATATCTTCATTCTGACAAATTTTTTAGTTTGTCTTTTATTATTTAGGAGTGCTTTAGGAGCACCAGTTTCTGACCCATCCTTAACGGAATTGATAAAAAGTCAGAAGTGTGTGTTTCCTCCAGCTAATATAAATATTCCACTAAAATGCTCTAACTGGACACTGAACTCTCAAGTTGACAATATTGAGTTTGACTTGTGCGCTGCGTTGTTAGATTCAACAAACCGGCTTTGTCATCTTGTCACAAGAGACAAAAAATTTGGCGAGCGAGTAACTAATGCCTTGAATAATGAGGGCCTCCCATCCCTAGTATGTGAAGAAATGAATCTACTTGATCCCAACACAACAATGGTACAAGCAAAGAAATTTTATAAGAAAATGAAACCCAAGTACTGCAGTTCAATCTGCTGTGGCGTTGATGAGGTTGAAACCTCTGTACGAGAACCAGTTTGTCGATCCATTCAGTTTGCTCATCAACAAATTCGAACAGCTATTGCCCTTCAAAAATCACTGAATCTGCAAGGTATTGTTTCAAGCTCCAATTGATACTGACTTGTTTTTATCTATTTAGTATTTTAAAATCAATTACTTTTACATTTCAGAGCGCAATAAGAATGGAAGTCCGCCTGTAGCAAATGCAGGAACTGTTCTTGAAAAGAAACCAGCAGCAGTCGATGAGTCTCAAACATCTGTTGACTCCGGGTTATCTCATAAACCTAGTAAGCAAGTTAATCCAGAGGAATCTGCACGAAGTGATGGTAACAAACATCAATAAGAATATTGCTTGTTTGGAAAATTAAGAATAAATAATTATCCTGTTTTTTTCTTTTTTTTCTTTAGCCATGCAACCAAAGATTGATTCATTGAAAGGCACAACCTCCACTCAAGTTGTGTCAGGTCCTGTGAGTCCTAAAGCTGCTTCTAATAACACCAAACAGCCTCTCCCTGTACCTAATGTTGCTGAAGTTGGACCACCTGTTCATCACCAAGAATCTGGGGCTGGAAGAAGTAATGTTGAAAAATCGGAACCCCCTCAACAAAATCTGAATAAGCCTGGAATTTTCAAAGAGCAACCTGTGGATAAAAAGAATAAGCAATTGGACTTAAATGGTGCGCAAGGGGATGTATTAGGGAACAGCCCTGCTGAAACTGAAAGTGAAGGTCAACTTGAAGCGCAACCTGACCCCCAGGCTGACCCCCAGACTGACCCCCAGGCTGATCTTCAGCCTGCTGATCCCCAGCCTGCTGATCCCCAGCCTGCTGATCCCCAGCCTGCTGATCCCCAAGTTGATGCCCAAGCTGATGCTCAAACTTTTGCTCAGGGTGAAGCTCCCGCTGAAGATCCCCCAGAAGTTCCTGGTGAAACACAAGGAGAGCCTCAGAGCCCTTCTCTCACAGACAATGATGATGGAGCTGATGAGAATATGAGGCAATTTGAAGATGGTAATTATCTCCACAGCAAATATAAACTAGCTTTACACTGTTGAAAACTAGCTTTATACAAATAGAAATGTAGTTTCATATTTTTATCATTACTATAAAAGTATCCTCTTTTTTCTTTTATTTTTCTGCCCAAATTAGATGATGAAATTGGTCCTAAAGTGCAGGATACAAACAAAGATTTTGCTGAGAAATGTAAGTACTGTTCCTCAAATTTCACCTGATATATGATTTTATGGCCCTAAATCAATTGCTATTTTATTTCTTTCAGCTCCAATTGTTATTAAAAAATCTTCTGAAAGTAATGCACTTTTGCCCTCATCACAACAAAAAAATTCCCAAGGCCGAATGACAGGAGGTTTAAATTTTGAAGAAGCTGAAGACTCACATTTCTTTGCATACTTCATGACTTTGTCAGCTCTATGTATTCTTGGTTATCTTGTTTACCACAACAAGCGAAAGGTAAGGACCATATTAATTTACCTTCACATTACCTCCATCTGTTGCTTAAAACCAGTAGATCTTGTGAGACTTGAAGGTATTGATTGCCATGACATGTGTTGTCCTTACTATGATTTATTTTCACAATTTTCCTAGATTATTGCCATGGCTGTGGAAGGGAAGAAAGGAAGAAACTCTGGGAGACGTCGCCCAAATTCAGCAAGTTACCACAAGCTAGACAGTAATCTTGAAGAAGCAATGTCTTCTAACTTAGGGTCCACTAATTCTTATGTTATATATTAATACCTTGATTTAAAGTGAACTGTGATTTTAATTTTTAGCATAGACTCTTTAATATAGTCATCTTAGGGTGTGCATAAGTATCAGCCTGTGATTAGTATTAATCAAGAAAAACTTTTTGTGGAATTTGTCTTTTACTTATCACTTAATTTACCCAATGCAGTTGTTACTGTATTTGGTATTACAAAGGTTTAGACAACCCACCGTTCATGGCAGTAAAAGCAAAGCAAAATTGGTAAGGAATTAGTGGCTTCTTGATGTATGTGTTATGATTTGAGCTAGGTATTTGGACAAGCCTAGGCATAGGATTGACCAGACGAATTTGGTAATCTTAGTTGTAGCCTGACTGCTCTTAGATTCTGCCAGTTGGGTTTAGCTGACCCTCTGGTTAATAACTAAAATGCATCAGAACTGATAAAATATGATCCTTGGTTTTTTCTATGAAAAAAAAAGAACAAAAGTAAAACAGAAATGGAAGAAAGAGAAAGAAACTTAGATAAATAAACAAACAATACTGCTCACTGCGTCAGTTATGTTGCACTTCTAGTTTTAACCATAGTGTCAGCTACGCCCAACTTGCTAACCTGGGAACAGAGGCAAGTTAAAATAGGTCCAACCAGAGTAGAATTAGCAAATTAGCCTGATCAATTCTAGTTTTAGCTGTGGACCTCTCTCAAACCAATGCATGCATTTCTACCGGAAAAAAGAATGTGCTATAACAATTATGTACTAAAATATTTTGTGATATCTAATTTTTTTTTTTTTATATATATAAACTTTCATACAAATCAAATATGCTGTAAGACGAAGGAGTCATATCCACTTTTCTAAATGGAAAACATGCCAATAAATTCTGGTGCACAACTCTCTTGGTTCTGGGAAATATGCTATGTATTGCTTCTTTGTATGATGTATGTAGCCTTTCTTAATTTAATTGACTCGCAAATGATGTCAAAATAGCATTTACACCACAGATACAAAAGGAGGTGCTTGTGTTGTTTTTAGTATCTTTGTCAAAGACTGATAGTGAACCCTGGCCATGGTTATCAAGGTAATGGATCATTAATGTGCATATAGCTCTAAAAGGTATTGTTTTCTTTGTGGTGGTGAGCCTTTGTTTCCTTTTCTTCATTTCCTTTTCTTTCTATTTTCCTTTTTTTTTATGAGGAGAGGGGGGGAGCTTATATCTGTTAATCTACTTTGTCAAATAATTGCATTTCCATTAGTGCTTGAAGGGATCGCATTGTCTTTTGGTAGATCCTCTTAGAGCACTAGTGTAAACTACAAGATGTGTGGAAATATTTAGTTTGGCTCAAGAGGATTGAGAGTAAAAATATGATTGTGGAGTATGGCTAAGGAAAGATGCCAGTGACTTAAGTTGCAGAAATCATTGCAAAACTATATGCAGTGTGCTGCTTAAATTTTGTAAACTAAATTGAGGCTTGGCGCCAAAGGCAGAGTTTTATTCCTCAGCTAAGTCCTCCTCCCTCTCATTAAATTTTATTAATGACAAAAATTTTTGTTTTATCTTAGTATTCAAAGTAGAGTTGGTAATAACACATGGACTAAAATTTTCTGATAAATTTTCTGAATGAGTAAGTCCCAGCTTGCGTAGCTGACATGGTATGCCCGTGGTGTAAGTTTCTAAGATGGGATGAGAGCGAAGCGAGTTGTGGGTAGGTGGGAGGGTCTTTCTTTCTGTGATAGGCTTCTTTCTGTGAAGCCTACACCTTGTTAGATTTCACCGACCAGCTGGCTTTGCAACACAAATGCAGGCTGCCATACCCATTCAAACTGAAGGGAAACTTAAAAAAGAATTAGAAGTCAAATTTTAAAAATTAGTTTCAAGGTCAAACTTTTCCTAAAACATACTTCTAAATTTGGTGTCCCTAGGAGGCTACCCATTGGAACTATCACGAAAACTTGGTCCAGACCTTCCCTTTGGTACAAAATGATTTTAGTATCAGTTATGTATATACGTGCTGTAATATGTTGCCATTAAAATACATACCTAAGTAAATTTAAAAGATTCTGTTGAAAAGTTTTTTTATTGTACTTTTACAATTTGAAAAAGGTAAGCGCTAGGATATACTCTCCTCACCTCACCCTCTTCACTTATAATTAGATTCGATTGCTTTGATTATTATTTTTGTAAATCAAAAGGGCTGGTAATTTTTTAGTTCTTCCTGTGCACTCAATGTCTGAAATTAGTAAAATTATTTTCTAGGTATCTATCTATAAAAATATGAAGTAAAACTCAGATAGCACTTCAATAACTTCTAAATTATAAGAAAAGCATCAAAGAACTATGTCAAAAAATATAACAAATACTACAACATTAAACTCAACCATAGATTCATGGCCATAATAATAAGTTCTAAGACAACTTTAAAAATACTGATAGAAACATTAGATTCTTAAAATCTAATTTGGCACAAAAAACTGGGCATAATTTTAAAATAACTAAACCACTTCCTTCAATCATCAGGTAATTAAATGTCGACAGTTTTAGCAATCCCAACAAACGGTGGACAGCGAGACAATCTCATTCTCATGCAACTTTTGGATGGCGGGTCAATTCAGTTGAGCTTTTCCGCCTTCCCACATCACTGCTTTTCGGTTTAGTTAGCCTTTCAGGTAAACTTAAGTTATGACTGAGGTTATTAGTAATGTCACTACATATTTTATCAGACTTTAAAGTGTCCAGCATTGAATTATGACTAGTGTTTGTAGGTGTAATAAACCTGGGTCTTTTATCTTCAATATTTTCAATTTCATTGAGTCCACTGGAGAGTGACGTTTGAGTGCCTACTTCCCTTGCCTGCCTCAATAATGATACTGTAACATGTTTACTAGGCCCTGATGATATACCTGAGAGAGATGACTTAAGTCCTAAGCGAGAAATTTCTTGACTAAAGGAAGTAGATGATCCTTCTGACAAATCATCATCCTGCTCCACATCTATCTTGACAGAATTATTCCTATCTGGTGTTTTTCGCACCTCACTGCTATTTTTGAGAGTAGACTTAGACCTTGAAGATACTTCTATATTATTAACCTCACAGTCTTCATCACCATCAGAGGAGTTACTGTCATCGCTACAGGATACATCACCAGGGCACTCAGATTTCACCTTTGAATACTTTTTGCCAAGATGTGTCCTGGTTGCAACACCACAGTCTTTTTTGATGTCGCTTAAATTAGGAAGATCAATTTTATCTTCAAAATTTTTTACATTTGAAATTTTATCTTTGGATGTCACTAAGTTTTTCTTTTTAGAACTCTTTTTTTCTCTTTTCTTCTCATAATTTCCTTCAGCTGACCTTTTATCAGGAGATAACGAGCAGCTGCTGTCCAAGCTCGAGTCTCGACTCCTCCCTCCATTTTTTACTAGCTGCTGCCCACCATTAGACTTGCTGCTTCTACTCCCAGCTCCTTCAGTAGTTACTACACCAACCTGATCATAACTTTTAATGACAGATTTGTCTATGTTGACATTATCCGCTTCTTTGTTCTTTCTCAGTTCTGTTAATGCAATTCCATTACTAAGCTCTCCATTCTTTTCAAATGTTGGACCATTGGTCTGATGAGCTTGAGGAATGTCATCGTCTGTAACATCACTTGCTTCTCGGAATCCAAACATTCGAGCATGAAGGGAACTTGGGAGGATTTGATCATCATTCAACCCAGCATTTCCAGTTCTCCTTTTCAGATTCGGAAGGGATGGGATAGTTGGATTACCCATGGCTAGTGTGGAAAGTATCTGCAATTTTGAAGTTTGCTTGAAAATGTTTATCATTCAATGATAGCAAAATAAATACCTGACTAAATAATCACATCTTATTTACCTGTGCTCCAAGCTGGCTTTCTTGAGATGTGGTGCTGCCTCTTCTACTATAGAGTCCTATCCTACTGCGCTTACTTTGGTGTTTCTTTCTCTTATGTCTGGGTTTAACACGTCCCCCTTGAACTCCTAAGGAAGACATAGGGGGAACTGGAGTACACCCTGCTTTGCGACTGGCAGTGAATTCACCCAAAGCGGCAGACAACTGAGAATCAAGGCTCTGGCGCCGTGAGTCCAGAGACACTCTAAATTAAAAACAAAAAAATATCAATAGCAAAAAAAATATATTTAAAACTAGAAAAAATAGCTGAGACAAAGCAAACTAAGGAAAATACCTGCGAACACCATGGCTGAAATCAGAATATTGACTTGAAATAGACGCTGTGTTTGGTCCAATGAGTGCACCTCTACGAGTTACAAGCTTGGGAAGTGCAGCGGCCCATGTGGTGCTCATGTCCTGAGATGCACCACTGTTTAATTCAAAATTTAGTCCTGTAGAATAGAGAGGGATACAGATACAACTTTAAGCTAACAGGATAATTTTTCACAGATAGTTAATTTAAGCAATGCTATAAGGAAATGAATCTTACCAACTGGGTCATCATGGGTACTATGGAAGCTAATAGATATCCGACCAGCACGATTGAATGCCTGTCTTTGAGCGTACACCTGAGCAATCACTTTATGTTTCTTCATTTTTACAGGTTCATCATCATCTTGGTGAAACGATCTGTAATAGAATAAAGTATTACATAGCATCCATGTATAAGTTAAGTTGTGTAAAGGCATTGTTAAAACTTTCGAGAGAGGACAAAGTAGTAGAATTTGTCATATGGCTCACCTCTTAATGAATCTAATCCATGTATCAACAGTAGATGACGTCCACACCCAAGAGGACATAACTACACCTACAGTGAAAAGTGCTAAGATATGTAGTTGAACCATTGCAAGACTTGGTCTCACTTCCACACGACAATCACCATGCCCTGTTAAACCTACACCATCAGTCAAAACACCACCACTTCTCATGACTTTACATCTGGAATGAAGCATGACAAGATTATACATTAAAAGCTAACATACTTGGGGCAGAATGCAGGCGAATACTGGCTACGTCAGGAAGTTAGAATATCTCATCCGAGCCAGCCACCCTGAATAGGTATCGATCTGCACCCTTTAACCCCTGTAGGCGAATTCCCATCCAGTAGTCCCCTGACCCCCAGTCTGGCTCTAAATATACAATAGGTTTGTTTTAATTGTACAGTTAGAAAACCTAAAACAAATTGGTAATAGGTACTTACATAATAAAAGTGCGAAAGCTCTCTTTCCATGAGCGACGGTGTTGAAATTCATAAATATGGACCACAAAAGTTGCAACAACAAAAATAAAAGTAAACAAAGTAAAAAAGCCCATCCGCACAATAGTTTCTCTGATTTTGGCACTTGCTTTTTCAGAAATTATTTCATGACTGTTAATTTTCACTTTAATCAATGTGATGAGACCTATATAGACAGATGGATCATTATTAGTACTTGGAAAAATGGTAGATTTAAATCAGCAGCAAGACTAAACAAAGCTTCAAAATTGCTTGTGTGCTTACCTCTCAGTAGAAAATAGGCTCCAGCTGAGAAGAAAATAGCAACTGGTCCAAGGAGTAAACCTCCTCTTGCAGCGGGATTCATATAACCCACAAAACAAATCCCCATTTCACTGTTTGCATCTATTTCACCCATTGCCATGGTAGTTATTGTCAACACTAGAGGAAGCGACCAAGCAACTAGGTGGAAGTAAGCTCCTTTCTTGTCTATACGATCCTGGATTTTTCCTGACGAAAAACGTAAGATGATTTGTTACAATAAATGCTCTGACTCAAAATTCATATAAGGTAAGATAATGGAGAAAAAATAAAGAATGTTTAAACTAATTGACAACAGATCAAATTTTAGAAATTGATAAGAACCCAAGGAGCATTCTCAATCAGAAAATTGATACTGTACAATATACTATACAAATGGTATAAAATGAGACTTCATGCTAATGTAAGAAGCTGAACTAGACCAGTTTGAGCTGGCAATGCTTACCCAATGCTCGAAAACTTAGATGCCATGCATATGCTAGAATAACAAACCATACACATGCAGCCATCAAAGAATAATAAATCAAGACAAATACTATGACACATGATAGGTTTTCCCCAGCACTGAAACAAAAATAGTAATACCACATTGGAGGACAGCAAGGAAAAAAACACAAAAAAACAACAACATACAAACAAAAAAACGTAAGCTGAGGGCCCAATTTACAAACACAACACAGATACATTTACACAACGGATACAAAAAGTAATTTATCCCAATAAATACCTTGGCTCAGACATCCTTAGCGTACCATCCTTTCGGCACACAATACCCTCTCTTGCACCAGGTAAAAATTGGGCAAAAAATCCTACACAAACCACTAAAAAGCAACAATTGATGTAAAAAATGATCAAAGCTGGATATTTGTTAGCAGATCGCCAATCAATGAAAAATGAAGCCTGAAAATTAAAAGGGTTCAAGTAATATGAAAAGGATAGCTGGTTTCAAATGAGATTAGGTCAGATTAAATTGAGGGCCATTTGATTTGATAATGCATAACACATTTGTGAACTTACAATAGTGAAAAGATTTACTGCTGCACAAATACCACCAGCCCACGCAATCAACTCATGAATTTGTCTATGTTCATCAGGAGTAAACATAGGATTAGCACACTGCATTCCACAACCTTCAGTGCCTTCATAAAAAGCGGATGGGTTATCAGTTGGTACTAGTGGAGACAAGCACTCAGCAGTGGTGTTGAACCGTACGTCACGAGCATCATCCTAAAAGAAAGTAACATAGAAGAGTTAGAAACTATATCTTTGAGATAAATCACATCGGACCTGAGGTGCTGCTTACTTTACAATTAGCAGGAAACTTGTTGGTATCATCACAACGCAAGGGAGTTGTCCAGCCTCTCTCTAGCTCCAAAATTCTGCAGGGGCCTAGTGCCATCTTGCACAGTTCCTGGGGTGGAAGCTCCACTTCGTCTTTTTCACAGCGGGGCATGTATAACGCACACAGGAAGGGCTGAATGACAGCCCAGCATCTGGGTACGTGTTTCAAAGCTGTCCAAAACTGGAGTTTCTCTTGCATTTGCTCTTGAGTCAAGCCAACTAATTCAAGAGTGGTAGAGGAGTAAGGTAACTTGGCTCCAAGACACATTGTATTATTCATATGTTCACATTTTGCTTTACGACGACAGTGAGGTCCTTTCCCAGCTGGCAGAGGAAGGTTTGGATCACCAGGAGAGTAACGGTCCAAGAGGAACACAGGGTGATGCAGCAAAGATGGTTTTTCTTTAGAACGGTGGCGAAGTCCTAGGTCTCTTGTAGAACTTTCAGGCACCACAATTGTGTCATTAACTATCGTTGAAACTTGACTTTGAACTAACTTGGCCGAAACCAGAATAGCACAAAATGCATTGAAAAACAGCATTGTTGACAATGGATAGATTCCTGAGGAAAATATTTACATTCAAACTCAATCTGTAAACAAAGTGTGATTAAAAGATCATGGACGATCCTTTTCCAGAGAGTGGTTCAAAACGATAGGTATAGTACGTTTTATATCTTCCACACAGAAAATATAAAGAAGATACAATAGAACTTAAAAGGTTATCTTGTTAAAATAGGTGGCGTGCCTACCTAAAGATTCTTTCTTCTACGCACAGCAGAAAGCGGTCGTATTCCAACGGATCATAGTCTGCAAGTACACAATAGTTTGTGTTTGCACATGACATCTAAAAATCTACGTTTTGTGCTGAATTTAATCATCAAGCAATTAGAATATCACTACATCACAGCACAATCGTTCGAGAAGCAAACGCTTCTTGACCACCCACGAAGACCACCCAGACTCAGGGTGCCGGATCTGTTGTTGTTGTTTTCACGCATCAAGCTTGCTGGTTGTGTACTTTGCGATGCTCAAAATATGCAACTCATTTAATTGATTGCGTCGAGAAAGAATTGCACTATATAGTGGTTTTCAGAATGGTGTCTTTATTTTATGCAGTAATTTTTGTTTTATGAAATAAAGCTTCCAATGTTAGGGATGGGTTGCGACGATTCTGTGTCTCGATTTGTACTTTGCAGTTGGCAGTACCGGACATGGGTCCTTGGTCTACTTTCCCGCCTGTGCACGACATCGCTTAAATCTAGCTGCGTCCCAATACGTGTAGGCTTGAGAAAGGTGTAGGTGGGTGCTTGAGGTGGGTGCCTTGGGTATCGACACCACTCTTATCTAAGTCTGCTAGTATGAGATAAAATTTGAGAATTGGACCAATCACGGCCTCGATAGCGACTACAGCAGACATACGGTACTAGCAGACACATGCACCCAAGTGCACCCAAAACACCCACGTTTGACGCAGCTTCTGTACGTGCGAACTCAACCTCCAAACTCCAAACCAAATTCGTCAAAATCGCTTAAAATGCTTAGATTTGCACATATTATTCTCGAAATGGGACGTGTTCCGGCTTCATGTGGTACATTTTCTGAATCGGATTTTAGAGTAGATCACTATTTTGAATGGTATACTAACGTTCCTAAAATATTTTGTTCTACAGTCCAAGTTTATTGATTTTAATCGAATTTTCCATAGGTTTAAAGGTCGATTCGGCAGGGTCAAATCGTGACCAAAAATTTCGCAAAAAATCTGGGTATAACAGCCCGCCTGGGCTTGAGCCCGGATCACTAGAGCCCGATATGAGCCCGACATTTGCCCAGCCTGACGATTTGGAACCCAGGCCACTTCTTGGCGTCCTCATATCGGGCATTGGTTGGGCTAAACGAGTCCGGACCCGGACTCAGACACGGGTTGGGTTCATGTCCTTATACTCCAAAATCTGGAGTTAACTGCTCATCAAACTCTACACCAGTTGGTCAACAAGCATTTCAACATTTTAACAAAAGAACCACCATATAGCTCGGCGATCGTAACGGCTGCATAGGGCTGCGCAGGGCAGCAGCAGCTGCGTAGTGTCGATTATAGCGCTACGATGCTGTGATTCTGAACAGCACTACAAAACTACTTGGGACGGACGCACGGATGGGGCACGAAAGAGCATACTGCCGAACAAGATTCGATTCGTGCCACGACGTTTTAACCAATCTGCTGCTTTAACTGGTGAACTTTGAACTTTCCGCTTTAACTGGAACTCACAACTCTACGAGGGCAACAAGCTGCGTATCATCTGCTGAAAACGTAAACTTGATTTTTCTTTCTCGTGCGGGGCTGCCACATTAGCTGTTTTCTAGTTTTCGCGCGGTAAAACGTTATTCCGCTGGCCGTCGCTACGCTACGCTACGCCACGCCCCGCCGTCCTCTTGCGCTATCTATCGCGGACCAGACGGGGTAACAGCAGCTTTGCGCCGCGCTGCGAGCCCTGCCCAGAGGCACTGCTGCTGCCGCCACGCCTCGCCCCGGCGAATAGCCTGGGGGCGCGTTAACGGGCGGGAACGGCGCATAAAGTACTCCATCTGGGGGCGGGGCGGGAGGGGCGTGAGGGGGCGGTCCAGATCGGACTGATCTGCATGCTTCTCGCGGGGGCGTGCCATTGAACTGGAGGGGGGCACCCCGCCAGGTGGAGGGGAGGAAGGTGCACCGGGATGAAAAGAAGCGAAGCCGTTAGCGGCTCACGTGGGGGCCGCGGGGCCTCGGCACACTGGCCTGGTTCGCGTGTACTTTAGCAGAAACGTGCGTGGCGTAAGCGTGGTCTCCTCGAAGCGACGCGACGCACATCGCCAGAAAGGTTTGGAACATGATGAGGAAGAGAGTACACTCGGCGTGGCCCAGGCGTGGCCCTATACCCGGTGGCAACACGATTCACCCGACCGATACTTCAACCGAGGAGTTTTTCACACTCGCAAGTGCACAACTGCCGAGTTGCACACTTGAAAGTGTGCACGTACGGAGTTAAACACTTGCAGGCACTTAACTTGCAATTCCACACTTATTTCAAGTGTCAAGCAGTTGCACACTTTGTTTATCAGTGTCGGGTAAATCGTGCAGCCACCAATACAAAAGTACATAGGCCAATGTTGCTTGGATCAGGTACACTGTTCTCACAATTATTGAAATACGAAATACCCTCAAGTGAACAATGAGCTCCATGGAATTCAGAACATTTTTGTTTTTTTGAACCGTGATTCCCATTTTCTTCCCTGTACGATTATGGACGAGGCGACTTACTGTCTTACCATCGGCTACCGTGTACTGCGTAGGGTGTGCAATATGTCGAAAACTGGCATCTTTATTTTAATTTTCCGTGCGTACTCAGTGAGTTTGGGGCTCGAAGCTCGAGGGCTCGCACGGATTACCCTGCTGGTAGATAGGAAAGCAGGCCGGGGCGGAACTGGCAGCGGAGACATGTGTTACGACAAGTCAACATGGCGACACGCTGCCTCCCAGCAGATTCCTTTTTTCTCCACCCAACATGCATGGGCGACGCCTCGGTCCGCCTCCACCCCCGCAGTCCCGCACCCGACCACTTCCTGCTATCTCGGCCTCTCTCTTTCTGTGTCTCTCCGTCTTTACGTCTCCCCCCCCCCACTCTCTCTCTCTCTCAGCCAACCCTCACTGCGAATGCTGCTTATCTTCACCCAGTCCCACCCCATACCCCCCGCGCGCTCTCCTCCTACGCCAACCTCACTTTTGGTTTGGCTTCAGGAATTCCCTTTGATTCGCAAATCCCTAAATCGGAGCCTAGACTCCGCTCGTCGAGCTTCGTATGCATTGCAAGCATACTATACGGCCGTACGGCTCCTCCGATGTCCCACGCTCCCACTTCCCCGCGCTCGCCCTCCAACATTTTGCACCCCTTCCACTCCACATGCGAGGTGCAGCTCGTCTTATTATTCTATTTATCGCCTGCCACAGCATATCTCCAAAATATCCTGTATGAAAAATAGATACTTTGATTGCTGAGCGGGGTGGACGGAACGAAACGCATTAATCTTAGCATTATTCATTTT